ATTTCTGACAGTTATTTCATGGTTCGGATTTTAAAGGGTTAAGCAGGAACTAAGCTGGAGAGGAAATGGCGTCTCACTGATTTAGGAGATCATCATTGTCAGGATGTCCTAAAAACTCCCCGAAAAGCCTTAAGTTAACCCAAAATGCTGCAGCAAGAGTGCTGATGGGGACTAGAAAGACAGAGCAGATCTCTTCTTTGTTAAATTCAGAATAAAATCCCGCTCCTCACACAGAAGGAGGTTCAGGCCTCTCTTCTGTGGAAACAGCTTCCAGTTTGGATTCTGGAGACAGACACCCTATATACTTTTAAGATTAGGCTTAAAACTTTCATTTTTGATAAAGCATTTTTAAATTAGGGCTGGATCAGGTGACCCTGAATCCTCCCTTAGTTATGCTGCAATAGGTATAGGCTGCCGGGGGATTCCCACGATACACTGACTGTTTCTTATTCAGTCACCCTTTTCACTCACTATGTATTTATACAATTCTCTGCATTTAATTATTACTTATAATTCATCTCTGGCTCTCTCTCTACCCCTCTAAGAATCTAGTTCTGCTGGAAGATTGAGGCCCCAAATAGGTTTTCTGACAACAGATTCTAATCTTTAACTGAGAGATGTTTTTCATGTTCTTTTCATATTTGTCTGGAAAATGTATTCAAAAGAATATATAAATGTTTCTTTTGTAGATGCTTTGATGCTTTGTAATATAATAGTGTTTTTCCCCACTTTGGATGGAGCTCTCAGCTCTCATTTCTAGAAATCTCAACAAATTTATTAAACCCTGCAAAACATGACTATCCAGAGTTGGGACCAGGAAGCAGAGCTGCAGTTTCACATCTCTCTCTGTAGCTTCTCTCTTCTTGTTGTCCCCCCAAAACCCCATCCCCTTAGAGACCGTGTCAGCTCCCAAACAACAAAAATCAAACTACAAATCAGCAAAAAAAGGAATTTAATATAAAAAAATCACAAAGAAAGAATGCTATAGTATGCACAACTGCTCCAAACAGTAAAATGGTGAATTGTACATCATTAAACATTAGGTCTCTCATGAGCTCTCATTAGGTCCCTCTTAGTACATTAATTAGTAATTCATCAACAAATTGATTTACTGTCCCTTTCTGAAACCTGGTTATAGCAGGATGATTATCTTTGTTTAAATGAATCAGCACCCTCGAGTTATATTAATAGTCAAAATTCTGGAAACACAGGCCTTGAAGGGGGTCGGAAACAATCTTCCACTCCAGCTTATTAATCAACCAAGGACGCAGTTTTACTTTATTTGAAAGCATGACAGTTAGCTCTGTCCATCTTAGCTGGAAAACTCAAAAAACAGTTTTATTTGTTGTTATTTATCGTCCTCCTTGGCCTTAAACAAAGTTTCTGTCTGATTTGTCAGACTTTTTATCTGATTTAGTGCTCAGCTCAGATAAAAAGATTACTGTGGGGGGTTTTCACCATCCATGTAGATACTAAAATGACAGCATTAGCACGGCATTTCATCTGTTATTGGACTCAATTAGCTGCTTTCAAAATGTAAAACCCACCCACCCACCTCTTTAATCACACTCTGAATCTGGTTATAACATATGGCATAGAAACTGAACATTTAACAGTACTTCCTGAAAACCCTCTTTTGTCTGATCATTTCTGGTAATATTAAAACTTACAGTGATGAATTATACAGTGGGAAATAGACTTCATGACAGTAAATGCCTTGCTGAAAATGCTGTAACTATGTTCATGTTCTTGCCTTTTTAATTTGTCATTTATTAAAATTATAAATATATATTTTAACTCAAAAGTACAGTTTTTAAATGTAATGTTGCTGAAACAACTAAAATAATAATAAAAAAATAAACACATATTTACAGAACATGTGGTTTATTTTAGCATTTTACCTCTATGGCGGGTGTCTTTTTGCTCTCCAACTCTTTTGTCTACCCCTTATTTTTTGCTGATTATACATCTCTTTTGTCCAGATGTTACAGGAACAGCACAGTTCATCTAAATTCAATTCACTTACAGTTATATATCACAAAATCACAACAACAGTCGCCTCGAGGTGCAATACTATATGTGTTGCTGAGGGAATGACAAGACTGAGAGAATTTTACCTGATGTATGAATTCTGAAAGAGCTGTCAGCTTATTACTGATTGTCATAATATTACTGATAACATGACAATTTAAAGCAGGTCATAATGACCTTCAGACCATCAGATAATGCTTCAGTGCTTTCCATAGTCAGTCTTCCACTTTACTAGTAATGTTCAACAATACTGTTGAGAATACAAGTATCAGGTGAGACGCATTGCCTCTAACAGCATTTTGGCTGAAATAAACCAGCTGAAAATATCAAAAACTCAGCTACTAATGATAGAGTTTTCAATAGAGTGTGAGAATTAGCATTACCTAATAATAATCAGAACAACATAATACGCTTTTCTATCAATATTATTTAATGGTAATCAGCACAAGAAGAACATTTAATGTTCTCTTCTGTATTTTCTTATTCTCACTGTCAACCATCACACTAATCATTCTGTGCATAGCTTCCTGTCAATCTGTTATCATATATTGATCTGCAGAGTAATGTTTGCAGAGATGCTTGAAGACACGTGCATTCTTGCAATGTATACCCCATGAAAACGCTAATATGATCTGGATTCAAGTTAGCAAGTCAGGTTAGACTTAGAGCTGTATGCCACTGGTCAGTCCCTATATCAAACTAAAGGTGATAACAAAGAAAAAAATTATACATATTATTTATCAAGGTGGTTTACCATAATCAGCAGATGTATGCATTATAAAAATAGTTTCTGGCCAGAAAACAGTAAAACAGTTGCACTGAGGAGCTTCATTTGCATAGCGGTTTCGTAATGACGGTAAAATAAGTGTGTATGTGTCCTTTCACATCACAAAAATGGAGAAAAACCTTTGGGTGATATACTACAGCTTCGCAAGTCAGACAGAGCAAATGGTGATAGTAATCTATACTTCCTAGTAACTGCAAACAGGATGACAGATGCAAGAACATTTCCACGTGTGCTACTAAGAAAACTGAGAAACGAGGTGACAGTCAATTGACTTGTGGACTGAGAAAATATATAAGGTGAATGAAAACTTATATATGGGGTGAATGAAAACTTTTCATGCAAATAAGTAAACAATAAATAGAACTTTGTGTCTCCTATTAGAGAAAGAAAGTACTTTTGGAACTTGGCCTGTTGTCTTAAAGCAACCTAAAGTGAGAAGTAAACACGTGTGTAACTTTTTTCTTTTCGTGTAATGAGATCATAAGATTCAGGCATGACATTGTCCCCATTAAATACAAAATCACACCTTCTCAATACTTAAATTTAAGTAAATAAACAGTATTGAACACAGACATTGAATATTTTTAAAGAAGTAGGTTAAGAAAAACAGGGTGTTCAAGAACTGAGTGCATCAACTTTTGTGTGTTAAAACAACATAAAACATATATGAGCTCAGACTGAATTTTAACAAAGGGTGTGCTGTTTGCATCATGTTAATGAGAACAGCACATGCTAGCATAACAGCCCCAACAAAAGCTCCATCTTAATACAGTGTAGTTTTATTGTTCTATCACATTTTTTATTCTAATTTATACTGGCTGCTAATAAAGTGCTGTAAAATAAGCATCAGCTGCCACCATAATAATTCTGAATGTACTGTATGATTTCCCGTTAATCCCTTATCATATATGTTGGTGGATCTGTGTACCACAAGTTCATAGCATATCTCTTACCATCGGAGTGTTTGCAGAAATGCTTTCTTGAAGTCATATGCATTGGTGCACATGTGCAGATTTTTATCTTCTATCCTGGTTAAAAATCAGACAGCATAATTAAATGAAAAATATGTTGCCTTGCCTGACCTTGCCTGAAATCATCAGCACTCATGCCATTTTATATCATTACTTGTTTTTTTTCCCTGTCATGTTGCTTTATCACCAGAAAACGATCTCTTCTATTTTTATTTTTATTTTTTTTCACCAATTTACTTATTTAAATGATTAAGAAACTATTATTTCTTCCCAAAATAACTACACTGGAGCACAAGGCTGATGTTTTTCTACTCGACCAGATTCAGTTTTTGACACAATCATTATGCTTATATCTAAACTCAACAGTGCCTTTAAAAGCTGCTAGCTGTTTTTTCCACCTGTAATGTGTAATCGTTTATCATGACAGAAAGCAAGGACTTGTTTTAAATTTGCAGGTTAGGTTGTTTCTAATGCCAGTAGTCTGTATAATCACCAGTCATTTATATTTTATACTGTATCCAAGACTTCTGTAAGGTGATCACTCCTCATCATTTATATGCTTTTTACCACATTGTCATAAACATTAATTTAGTTTTGTCTTGCATCAGCTGTGGGGTATTGAAATTGCAGACTTACATGCCATGGGAAGGCTGGCTTTCTCCCTGTGTACAGGACCTTGAAATAAAATCCAACATACAAACACTTGATTCAACATACAAACTTTTCACATAGCAGCTCAGTATTTCTTTTTCCTGGTAAGGCCATCATTATTGTAACAATATTTTTGTTCTATGGCTCCAGAATTCCTCCTATAAACTCCCTTCAGTATTAATGTTGGTAGTGATGGTTATTGTGCTGTTTTCTGACAGAACATTTTAAAGCAAATAAAATAACTGTCTGTGCCACAATAATAACAGTCCAAGAAACAAATGATCAATATAGTATTTTCTTTAAGTTTCATTTTATTTTTCAGTGAAACATATTTTAGTTTTATCAGTCCTTCAGGAAAGTGCTAAAAGAAATCTTTAAAGCAATGCATACAATTCAACTGAAATAGAATAAAATAAAGCTCTGGAGAGTCTGATAAAGTTATGAATGTGGTTCACAGCCACATCATTTGAATATGCAAATAACGCAACTTCTCTCGCTGTTACGAGGAGGTATTTAAAGGCTGAACCTGCCAGTGAAGTTACCCACTGCTCTTCAGTAGCTCAGCCTGACTTTGATCTCATCATGTTTACTCACTTTAACCTGGCAGTACTGATAGTTGTACTGACTCTTCATGATAAAGGTAAGTCTCTTTTCATAGTGCATATGTGATGTCATGCATGGTGACATTATAAATGATGTCAAAACTGAGACCGTGCAAGGTTAAGATTTTGATTTAATAGAATATGACACAACCCCCCATCCTGCTCCCACTCACGCAGTTCACACTGGAGAAATCATCGGTGGCCATGAGGCCGTGGCACACAGCAGGCCATACATGGTGCTTTTGGAGATGCACAGACCAGGTGGTCAGAAAGCCCACTGTGATGGCTTCCTTGTGAATGAGCATTTTGTGGTGACTGCTGCCCACTGCCAAGCTGAGTAAGTTTAACAGTTTATGTTTACCTAAAGGGAATTATGTGAACCGATAAATTTTCTTATCCAAACACCAAGCTTAAGTTACTCTCTGAGACTGAGATCTTTGTTTCATGGTGGCTTCATAAGTTTGGTCATAAATTAGTATTGAAAAATGTTTCTTTTGTTGTATATTGTATCACTTAAATCAGCGGTCCCCAACCTTTTTTGCTCCACGGACCGGTTTATGTCTGACAATATTTTCACGGACCGGCCTTTTAAGGTGTTGCTAATAAATACAACCAAATAAAACCAGAACCAGTTCCAATATATATATATATA